ACTGAACACCTTCAAGAGCAAATTGGATGTTTACCTTGCTGGGATCCTAGGACCCCAGCTGACTTCCTGCCCTTTGGGCGGGGGGCTGGACTCGATGATCTTCCGAGGTCTCTTCCAGCCCTAACATCTATGAAATCTATGAACATTTTCAGATCCAAGAGCCGAAAGGATGCTAACTTCATCTTCAGGTGCCTAAATAAAACCGATTTTACAAATACCTTCAAATGCCACTGCAGTTAAGTAGAACAGCAGGTGGTCTGCATAGGCTTACTAACAAGTCTAATGCTTACTTCCACAAGATGTCAAACAGGGGTGCACTGATAGTGATTTCTGGGGGTTGATACTGATAGTCAATTTTTAAGGCAGGAGATTGGCTGATACTGATCTGATTTCTGATATAGCTGTGTCCAGCTGGTAAGTCTGTTGTTGTGGAAGTGGTGGGGGGAGGGAAGGAGTGGGGGGGCAGATAAACACCCCCCATGGTGAGGGAGTGGGGCAGGGGCTGAGGTAGGCATTTCTCAGCCAGGGCGGGGCATGGGATGGAGCTGTGGCTCATCTGGGGGGCGCAAGGAGGGGGAGCAGTTCCTGCCAGGAGGACATGGGGTGGAGGCATGCGCTCCCAGATCTGCACAGGGCTGGGCTACTCCAAATTTTGCTGTAGCACACCCCCATAGCCCCCTTCCAGCATCACCCACCCCAAGCAGTGTGACCCAGCCTCCCCCCCCACAACCAGGAAGAGTCTGGCATGGCCTCATTCCCTAGCCTGCAGCTGCAGCCCACTCCACCCCATGCAAATCCAGAGCACGGCGGGAACGCCCCCTTCCCCTGGAAGAGCTGTGGCTCCATCCCATGTCCCATCCCAGCTGGGCAGCACCTACCCAACATCAGCCCCACTCCCTCCCTCACCGCAGGGGGTGTTGATCTGCCCCCCCCATGCCCCTTCCCTCCCCCCTCTGCTTCCACCACAACAGACTTACCAGCTGCATGCAGCTCTTCAAACTGCCAGGCTGTGCTTCTTGCCGCCTACATGCTGCACTGCAGCTGCACATACACATGGGCATTTATCAGCCACATTATCAGCCACATCAGACCGATTTTCAATATAGTCAGTTTTCTATATATTAGACCGATGTATCAGTACACCTCTAATTTCAACTGATTTCACTTGGAAATGACATCTCTGTAATAAGCATTAGTGAACTTGGTATGTGGGATTTTGCAGGATCAGGCCTTCAAAGTCACAGAACCTGCAAGTTCTCAGAAATATTAAAACCTAGCCCACGTGCCTCCCCTTTATTCACCAATTTTTTATTCACGCAACATGCAAGTATTGTGTACCTACACACAATTTAGGCCACAATTTCAGATGGATTTTTTTCAATACAATTTGACTGATATTTGGATATAGTACTAGTTTAGTTTTAACCACAACTACATGGCAGGGACTAATCTGAGGCAAGGTACAAACATGCTATTTGAAATGCTCCAAGTGCCTTTGAAGCACTCCAAACAGCAAGGATACATACAAACCAAAAAAGTTTTTTAAACAGGTGCTAACTCCTCTGTCCCACAAAAAAGAAATATTTTTGAAAACACTTCTGGAAATGTGCGCACACTCCAGCTGTCTTCTGGCATCCCACAGTTCTCTGCTCCACATTACATCTCCCCTCACCCGCCCTGGTCAGGGGGAGCAAAGCAGGCAGCCAGTAAGTGTTCTCTTCTGCACTGGGCTGTCTTTAGGATTCTCCAGAGACCAGAGGCTGGCAGATATGAAGGGATCCCAGCTAGCTTGCTGCGAAGCAGGACAGCAGTGCCACTACATGCCTTCACAGTCATTTTGAAGTCCTCTAGTGAGGGAGGGGGAACAGAAAGGCGGCAAGCAGGGGGGGGCTACAGGTGCTAAAATATGATGGTCTCTGGGATTCAGAGTGCTTTAAATGCATGTATGTCCATACCCTGAGTATTACTGCATCTGTATCCACTTCTATTTTCCAAATGCCAATTACAAATAATGCCCAGACTTTGGCCCTATGAGAATGTACTCAGTATCTTTTCCCAACAAGAAATACCTTGAGACCCTGTTATATTATGTATTTAGACATGGGCTGTATAAGGCACTCTTAATGTTGTACTAACGCATCTTTTTAGCATTTAACTAGTTGGCTTCTAACAATAAATTAGACATAGTTCTTAGAATACTTTACTGTGCTGCCTATTACTGTGAAGTACTCCTTTAATGATAGATTTATGGAAATAAGAAAACATTTATAATTGAACAGTGTTATTTTACATATCATTTGTAGAATATGTCTGTGAACCAACACAATATTAATAGTATACACCCCATGTAAATTGCTCTCTTTAAAAATTTAATAATTAAGACTCAGATTTATAGAAAGTGAATTTATACAGGTGCAAAAGTCTGTATTATTGAAGGTTAATGTTTTATCAGCAGTGCTTTATGCACTCATTAACTAAATGAAAGTCAAACTGATGAAAAACTACCACTGTACCTCAAGTATCAAATTCTTCTATTTACCTAGAATAAAATTAGCTATTAGCAATTTTTGTCAATTTATGAGTTAGGAAACATTTTTGTATTTTAGCTTTCTGCAACATACACTATTTTACATCAGATTAAATATACACACAAACCATGAGTTTAGGTAAGTGGTGAGGGTGCATCTACTTGGCACCAAGCAGTGCAGCTGTAACTCTCACTGTACCAGCTATGATGTTGGAAGCAGTATACACTTGTTAATGCATAGTCCAGGTGGGGCTAGTTACTTGACTTCTTGGTGCTCACATAGGGATACTGCTTCTGGTACCTGAGCTGGCTTGTAGAGATGATCAGAAATTGTTCTAACACACAACACTGCATTGTGCTATGCAGAATTAACCTGTGACAAAATATACTTGGTGATGGTGCGTACGGCTATAACTATGGACCTACTTAATTTGTGGGGGCTGCCACCTAATTTTGTAGGCAGAACATGGGCCTAGGCAGCCATTTTATGGGTGGAGTGTGGTGTCCCCAAGCCCCACAATTGGGGAAGGGCCCTCAGTGGCCCTGCCCCTTGCCACAGTTTGGCTGCAGGGGCTGCCTGTCATGGGGCCCTTCCTCTAGTCACTTATTGGCTGTAAGGGCTGTCCATCATGCAGCCCTGCCCCTCGTCACTGACTGGAAAGGGGTGGAGCCACATGATAGGCAGCCCTTGCAGCCAATCAGCATTGAGGGGCAGCAGCCATCTTGCCAGCATCCCCCCTCCCCTCCCCTGCCCTGGCAAGCTGTCACAGCACTCAATACGTTTTTCCTCACCAC